AAACTCAGCAAATAACCTCAGAATCCTCAGGTTATTTTGTGCTGAAATGTGTCTGGCTGTTTTTGTAACGTAAGCTAATTGGCTGAGGTTGAGAAGTTTCAGTGGCAAGAAATAAACAAGAAAATATTTGACCCAATTCTGCATGTTGCATTGCACATGTCGTCGAGAGATGATAGTCTTGCGTCTGGAGAGAGGGAACAAAACGTTTATTTGATGTTGTGCGGAAGAAAATTGGTGAATGGAATTGTGTAGGCGCTGCGTTAGAGTGCCTCGAGCGTGTAGTGGAGGCGAACGAGCGCATGGAGGCACGTTAGACTTGAGTGCCATCTCGCAGTTATCTTCAAAAACGAAGGCGTGCACGCTTGCGGAGAAAGATGTCCGCCTGTCTCAGAGGTGATAAGATGTAGAACGCAAAGCGATGGGCAGGTGCCACCACTATGTTGTCGTAGCAAAGCATTGGCAACAGTTGCCTCTTTGAGCATCGCGTTGCACTGTCAGTACAGCGTGATAAACGCTACGGTCCTTAGAGTTACTTGTGTCTGCCTTCTCAAGTATAAAGGAACACATACATAGACATGTTGTTATGGTGCCTCAGATATGCGTAATGATTGCTTTTTAGTTGACAATCGCACAAGTATGAACGCTGAATCATGAGCAATATTGGTAGGCACTGCGGATGGGGTCGGCCGATTGGTGGCGTTTCAGGTATCGTTAGGGTGGACAAACAGACAAATGTACATACATACAACAGACAGACAGACAGACAGACAGACAGACAGACTAAATTTTTTCTGTCGAAGGTCCCAAAGGAAGACAATCGTCTTTAAAAATGATGCACTCGTGCGACGCTAAATCCAGCCAATGGCAAGGTCGCTACATCAAAAAGAAGGTTAGCGGTGATGCCAGTGCACTCAAACACTTCGAAGTATTTGTTGACGTCCTGATCAATCGTTATTCCATAAACGTGAGTGAGTTGGAAAGACAAAAAGAGTGTGTGTTTGTGTACGTGGGTGCGTACGCACGTGTGTATACACTTTAGTGAAACAACGCTGGTTTCAGTCTGCCAGCTGTCACTGGGAAACCTTTCGTCATGTCGTTGAAACGACGGCCACAGTTGACGGATTGTAGGTTTTTGTTCAGTGGTTTTCTTCGGCCAATATCTGCCACCTCGCGTGACCGGCGATGCTGAATGTACTTGCACGAGTAATTTTCTTGCTTTTTACAAGCGTGGGTAAGTGGCGTCGTCTGGTGCATCCTTTCAAACTATTGAGAGAAGGAGGGCATGTAACCGCCACCTTAAGCAGTTGTCGGTCAAGCTGACCTACGCCTGAAACTACTGCAGGCACCAGGTGTAATAAGAGACATAAAGAGAGAAAAGCAGGCGCGTCCTCGCTTCGTTCTCAACTGGATGCTTATTTATCCCAACAACAGCAAAATAAAGTAAATTCGCCAGCTGCGTATTTTCTTCCTTTCATCCTCTTCACGTACTTTACGCAAGCAACAATGTGGAGGCTGCATTACGGCCCACATTATAGTTGTGCAAAAGGCATGGCTTTCAAGGCTGGCCGCCAAAACGAGGACGCATATTTTGCACACCTCGACATGTACGTTTCTTTTTTTTCTCGCCTATTTCAAGGTCCTTCAGCGAAAACAAGGGCTGGTGTAAGAAATAGAAAATAAGAAAATCTCTTGGAAGATAAATAGCCGCCGAGGTAGTCGAGGGACGAGCAAGAGCTCGCCTGGGGTGCTGAGCAACGCATTCATTTTCTGCCGGTACAAAGTTTCTGAGCAGCCGTGGCGAGGGGTCTTTGTCGGCAACTTTGTCATGCAGCTTGTAATCATTTTTACTCTCTACGTGGGTGGCATTTCCGACTGTCTGTAGTTGTTTCGTTCCCTCTGTTTCGTCCTCTATTTATTTCGATAGTCTTTCTTAGGTTACTTGGACGCAAAACGTTTCGTGTGTCTGTCGGTCTATTTGTCTGTCCATTTGTCTGTTTGTCCATCGAAACCCCTACCCGAAACGGCCAAAATCTAACCCCATCCACAGCGCCCACCAATATTGCTCAAGTTCAAGCGTTCATCCTTGTACGATTGTCAACTAAAAAGCAATTATTGCACATATCTGAGGCACAATGAAAACATGTCAATATTCTCTGGTGTCTTTTTACACTAGAGAAGGCATACAGAAGTAATTCTAAGGATCGTAGCGTTTATTACGCTGCGCTGATAATGCAACGCTATGCCAAAACGGCAACTGTTTCCAACTCTTTGTTAGGACGACAAGGTGGTGGCACCTACCCGTCACTTTGCGTTCTACGCCTTATCGCCTCCGAGACAGGCGCACACGCAATCCTTCGTTTTCGAAGATAACTACCAGATAGCACTCATGTCTCCCGTACCTCGATGAGCTCGTTCGCCTGTGCTGCACGCATCGAGGTACACTAACGCTGCGCCTACAGAATACCAATCACCAAGTTTCACGCGCAGAACATCAGATAAACGTATTCTTCACTCTCTTGAGACTCAAGACTATAGTCTTTCGACGACATTTGGAGTGAAACATACAGAAACGGGGCCAATTGTTTTCTGAAGCTCGTATTGGGTGCTCCGCAGTGAATTTGGTCAGGATCAAAACTTGAAAGAAAGTGACTCTGTCTCGCACATTATATTGCCTCTCTGCCACCGACTTCGCCGAAAACTACGCCACGTCGAAGCTTGCAATTCTCAGAAACGCCCGGCGAGTCAGTCGTACAACAACCGACAACTACTGAGTTCGTATGAATCAGTCAATGAAGCAATGTGGGTGCCCAATAGTCATAAGCATGTATACATTATCTTATTAAGATGAAAATAGAACTAAAGATCCTGCACATGTGCTTCAGCAACGCTAACGTTTCAGCTCCTATGCATGTCGTGTATGAGAAAAGTCAACATTCCACTTCGTTCTTCTTCCTAGTTTAGTCCTCTAACAAAGTTACGGCTGGGAGATCGCGTAGAAACTTCCTGAGTCTGCAGATTTTGAAATGAGCGTGAGCTCGATAATTGTACCAAACTATTTAATGCATCTCTTCTTTTATATGTCTGCCATCATTGGGATCCCCGCACTTCGTGGGGTGTCAGTTGACTTCCATTACCGCCTTCTTTCAATAGAAACAACATAAATAAATCCTGTCCCTTTCCATTCAATTTTTCGCACTTACTTTCCATGCAGATTGGTGGTAGTGTAAAGGGGTTCAGTGAGCAGCAGTGAGCTGTGCGCGCAGGTGAAGCCTCTCCAGATAACGCGAATTGTAAATCAAGTTCACTGCACACTACATGCTATAGTTGACAAAGAGGGACGCCGCATTCGATCAGCCAATACTAGACGCACAAACACTGGTACAGAAATGTGTGCGCCGTGTCTTTTTATAGCACGCCCACCTCTACATCCATGGCTGAGGAGAATGGGCTGCGCATGACAAATGCAAACGAGCTGTTTGTTGGGGCATCGTGTTGTGCAAGGTCCCATATTATGGTGTATACTCGTGAACTGAAACGCACGTCGAAACTTACAGAGTAAGGGCACAGTGGGAAAGCAAGATGAAGGGCTCTCGTGTACTTAAATTTTGGTAAGCACGTTGTAAGAAAGGGGCCATGTTTGTGGAGGATGTCCGGTCGAAGTCTTTTTCCACAGAACCTTGTTATGGTATTGCTGTTCTGTCGAGTTTAATTGACTACTAATGCTGCAAGCTTATAGACTGGCGCATGTTGGTGGACGACAGACATGAAGTGCGGAAGAAAAGAACGCCTATTTGTTGAAATAACGAAGCTAATATCATTTCTGCATTCAGCACGTGGTCAGGTTTCTGTCGCCTAAAAAACAAGTTCCATCTAGCTTGCCACATCAGGAAATTTTCTCAAAAGGCGAATGCATGCACTTGAGCTTTTTTTTCTTTTTGATGTCCCGCCTTCTATCGCCCTTTTTATTTTTACTCATGTGCCGTCACAGAAAGAAACAAAAACTTTTTGTCGCTCTTTACGCAACGCCTTCTTTCAAGTCAGATATCTCTCACAGGCGCCGATCCTAGATACAGGTCTCTTGGCAGTCTGAGTGGCTTTGAAAAAGAAGAGAAAAGAAGAATACCACGTTGTGACTGTATCTCGCGTAGGAGGTCATTATAACTCGCAGTCTTCCCAACAGAATGCCCATGCCAGTGAGTTTTCTTAACATGTCGAGAAGAGACGAGGAATTAAATAAACAAACCCAACACGAAAGGTACACACAGTTAAAGTATGATCGTCTCTTCTGCAGTTCTATTTCTAATATTATTTTTGTGATATTTCCTTTGTGTGTAAGGAGGCCGTTTATCGCAACCGTAGAATAATCATGTTTCAATGAAAATGTTAAGAGACGTCTCCTTATAGCAATTTTTGTTATTCGAGAAACAACTCGTGTTTCAAGACAGGGCTACATATATTTAAATCATCCATTTTCAATTTCCACGATGTTCAATGCACCACCTGCAGAGAAAATTTCCGGTTCACCTCGATGAACAAATTGTATGTCTCGCCGTAGTCAGTGTCATCTAGCTGCAGTACCTGAATGTCTTATATACATCAATTAATAAAACCTGGGGTTTTACGTTCAGAAAGCATGAAATGTTTATAAGGCACGCCACATCAGTCGGCTACGGAAATAGCAATCCTGTGTGGTTCTTTCACGTGCGCTGATATCATCCAGTGTACGAGAATCTAGCATTTCTTCAAAATCCAAGTGCGACCCCCGCGTCTGGGATCACACACTTCATATTAGCAGCCGAGTACCGTTCACTCTGTCCACCGCGGCAGACGACTTGGTTTGCAATCATTTAGGGTGGTGTCATGAGATTCGATCTTGATGGCATGTTAGAAGGGGGGACAGCGATGATGTCTCTATACAAAAATTTTAGAAACAGCGTGCACATCTAATGTACAAAGCAAAGTAGTCAGTTTCTCCTGCTTGTAAGCGTGCCTATTCTTACCTGAAAGTGAGCACTGTGAGCGGCCGGTACGACTTGTGGCTTCGAGGATCCGCCATCGGTCGCCCCCAGAAATCGTTCATCCAAAGCGACGACAACGACGAAGATGCTGCGTGTCGTCTATTTTCGCCGGTGACGTCGGGGTTACCGACCACGGCCACAACGTCATCGTGCACGAAATCACCATCCAGCGAGTTCATGTAACACAGCACGGCCACGACACCGGCGCACAACGCGGGCATCCACGCGGTCCTACGTTCCACATCATTGTTGACATACACCGGTTCTTTGGTGGCATCGGCTCCACCGTCGCTTCGCTTTTGTGGTTGTTGTTTCGTGGGGTGTTGACATCGTTGCCGATCAGATGATGTTCGCCGGTGCTTGTGCTGATCCTCAACTGGTGTCGCCTTCACACTGACTGCTCGTAATATCGTAGAATGTTTCAAGTAAGAGTGCGTCCTAGTTACTACAGAAACACACTTGGCACTGAATGACCGAGTCAACGCACGCACTGTGCCCGCAGTGCACGTTGCTTTACTTCGACAAAGTCTGTGCCATGTGTCCGGGTGGCAGTATTTCCCATTGCCGCCTGTGTGATCCGAAAGTGCTGTCTCGGTAGACGCACCCCCAGATGTTTCTAGGTAGGCATGAAGCAGCGACGATTGCGCACCTCCGCTAAACCAGCCTCCTACAGCCATCGTTGAGATTCACACAACCAGCGTAGCACAATACAACCAAAGCACGCACGCTTTCGTCGCTCAACCGTTCCAAGCAATACGCTTTAATCACGCTAACGAAGTCGATGAACTGCACGAACACACACACGCACACAAGCAAACTGAAAGCGTCACAGGACACTTGGGCGCTTTCCGAAGCACGTGGTAGCTCACAGGACGGCTTATTCCCTGCCGCCGGTGTGAATCGAAGCGTATCTCCACTCAAGGCCTTCGTCTTGTGCGACACTCCCGGTGAAGTATCGTGGTAATCCTTGGTAAATCCGTTCCACAGACGTCACTTTCGATTGGTACAGCAAATGAATGAAAGCAGACAAGAGTGTCCTGTTTCTGTTTGGGGATGAGAACACCTCCCGTATGAGAAAGAAGGGCGCGCAGGGCATCGTGAGTACTAGTTCAGAAGAAACTAAAGAAAAACTAAACAGAACGTAAACCTATTTGAATATTACTGCTGCATCCTTCAGAACGCATCTTCTTGTGAACACCCAAACGTTAGCGGAGCCACCCAGAAAGATATACAACCATTTTCCGGGGCTCGCACCTGGAAAATAGTTCATCTGAAGCTACATGTTCACATTCCAAAGACGTATGTGCACCTCCGAACACCTTCCCTCAACCTGCCGACAGTACTTTGGAAGGCGAAACTTTGATACGACGATTTAGGCGCCACGTTGTATTAAAATAAAAGATAAGCTAAGAGCACGAATTGAGATTCACGCGTGCACTGGGCGGAACCATGGGCGACCATTTTCGCTGAGAGCGCCCGGCACTTGGAGCGCACAGCGCATAGGACGCACACGAACTGAACGGCACTGCAAAGTGAGAAAACCCTGGTGGGCTTCCGCGCACGCCCAGTAGAGGACTTGCGCTGGCAGGTTCGATGCGTCCCGTGGGCGGTGCTGCCATCTAACGGCTGGCGCAGATGTTGTGGGATAGAGGTGCCGTAAAATCTCGCTTTTTGGACGCACGTTGAGGCACGGGTACAGACTTCTCAGTCGAAGTAAGGGTGCGCGAATATTCGAAACTTCATACGTTGAATACTTGTATTGTCTTCGATTCGGAAATTACATTCACTACTAGAAATATTTTATTGCTGCAAGACTTCGAGTGAAATAATCAAATCAGCAGTATATACTGCATACGTGTGATAAAATTCGCCATTCTTGGCACCGAAAAATGCAAATTCGTTTCAGTTGCCAGGTTTTGCCCTTTATCTCTCGGTTTCGCGCAATCGCGCCTTTGCAATGGTAACGTTTTTAAGTGGCGTAGCCTCAGAATAGCATTTCGTATGACACCTAGCATGTTGCACAAGATTCTTTAAATTATACTGAACGAAACCGCCGAACTAAGGCTTCAGTCATTGCGAAATCGAATAGAAATACCTGCAACTAAAGAAATTTACATTTTCTTTTGATTATTACTGTGATGAAGCAGCCACGATAAACAACGTAACAATGCCATTACTTGTCTCATTCGACAAAGCATGCATATAAGGTTAAAGTATGGATGTAGCCCATTCAGCAGTAGTGTTTTACAGCGAGTGGATATAGGGACGGTGACATGCACATATGGTAGCAGTTAGGTCATACAATTCCTAAATTGACAGATGAATACAACTGTATGCACTGCCTAGCAAGGTTTAAATTAACCCCGGCTTAGGTGTCCTTTTGGGAAACGTAAATGCTTTGCCTCAACACCACCTCACGAGCTTCCTGGAGTGCAAGCATTTGAATGCTGAGGTCTGAGCTGCTCCGAATGACTGCTCACATCGACGGAAGGGTGCCGTAAATAATTTGCTATACGCAAACTTGCCTATTGATGTCTGACTGATGAAACAAAATTTTCAAAATTCAGTTGTGCTGTTCCTGACTAGGTAGGAACTACACAGACTAGATTTGAGTAGTTACATTAACCAACTATTGTGATGTATTTTTTCAAGTGAGGAATTCGAAGAAAATTACTCATTACTTTCTAACTTCTCACTACAAAGCACTCTTCTTAAGGCATGAAACAATTGTCCAAAAAGAAAACAAAAAAACAAAAAACAAGTTATTTTGAGGGCATAACAAGTTGGAAAGCTAAACAAAAATCTTTTCGTATTTCATGTGTACGTGTTCTTAGTAAAGACTACATAAGTGGTCCATGAATTATGAACTTTGCTCGTTGTAACCTACAAGTATTGTCATTTTAGAAAACAGATTGAAGATGGAGCTCGGAGGCGAGGAAGAAGAAGTAGCCAAGAGCACGCTCTGCATATTTTTTTTTTCATGTTCTGTCAACAATAATCCGAACACGTATCGGTTCTGCGATCTCTCTGGTCCTTCTGAAACATGGTGCCGTGACAAGGATGATCTAAAGACAGACGCACAGACTTTAATCCCATTCGCAAAAACGGTTTGAAGAACGAAGCAGCGGCGTCTGGCTCAAGGACGAACCGTCGAGAGAAGGATCACGACCGACGACTGTTGGAGACGCACATAAAAAGACAAGAGCTCTTTCAACACGTTTTAAGCATGAATAAAGAGGTCCTATCGAAGAAGCGGAAGACGCTTCGAGCAAATATTATGACGCTTACGAGCGAAATAGATAAGAAGCTAGAAGAAGACGCCGACCGAGCGCAACTTATGACGCTTCTGAACCAGATGAAGAGCGTGTCACAGACGCTAAGACAAGTTAACGAACAGATAGAACCGTTCATGAAAGAATACGACGCGGAGGCAGAATTTGAAAGAGTTTTGCATTATGAGATGAAGATCGTCGCTGCAACGACAAAAATAGAGGAGCGATTACGCGAGTTAGAACAAGCGACGCAACTGACTACGAGAATAGTCACAGAACAGGCGATTTCAGTGCAAGGTACTAACCAAATCTCGGAGAGGCAAGAGCTTGTTAACTTGCCACGTCTTGAGATGATCAAGTTTGATGGGAAAAAAACAGCATGGCCAAGGTTTTGGCATCAGTTCGAGACATCGGTGCATAACAGAGTGAACATGCCGAAGAATCGAAAATTTAGTTACCTACTGGCGTCTCTGAGCGGGGAGGCTGCGTCCCTCATAGAAGGTTTGCAGTTTTCTGATCAGAATTATGAGCATGCAAGCGCTTTTCTGAAAGAAACCTACGGACGAGAAGATAATTTGAGAGAGATCTACATAAAGAGCTTGCAAATTTGGAAGCAGTGAAGAGTCCTAAAGATGTAGATGGGTTGAAGAAACTCTTCCAAAGGTTGCCAAGTGAATACACGAGCACTGCAGTCGTTAGGAGTGGAAATGGATAGTTATGCCACAGTGATAGCTCCTGTTGTAAAATCTGCGCTACCGGTGGATATGAGGATTGAGATGAAGATGCAGGAGTTAAAGAAAGGTGACAACAAAACGGCAACTACGGAATCGGACTCAGCGTCAAGAGACAGCACGAGCAGTTTGAAAGACATTATTGAGTTTTTAAACTATATATATATATATATATATATATATATATATATATATATATATATATATATATATATATATACATATACATATATACATATATACGCAGCAGAGAAGAAACTCGAGAGGAAAAATACGACGTTACCCAGTCACCGCACAGTATGAGGCGGACTAGAACATCTGCGCTTGAAAGCACCTCAATGAAAAAATGCATCTTCTGTGAGATGACTGGACACTACACGGAAGATTGCAGAAGAAGCATTAGTATACAACATAAGAAAGAAGCCTTGCAACAGGAACGAAGGTGCTTCAGATGTACCAGACCTTACCACACGGCGAAGATATGCCGCGCTTACGTACGCTGCAAAACATGGCAAGGGAAGGCACGCGACATTCATGTGTCGACCACGTAGGCCTGCAGGAAAGTCAGCCCGTTTTGTATGCTTGCGCCGGTCTACTTATTTGATGCAATTTGACAATAAAGCTCAGTTGGAAGTTAGCGCTCTGTCCTCTTGTGTCGGTCTGCTCGGCCGTTTCTTCTTCCCCGTAATGCGCTATACCATTTCAAGTATGTGGGAAGTGATTGAGACACATAGCCAAGAGGGAACCGGATAGACAAGGGGTTGCATGGTCTTCCCTCTCTTTGGTTGTCGGTGGCGTAGCGGGGGACAACTCAAGTGGTGGCAGCGGTGGGATTACTGCTGGGGCAACGGTGCGAGATTTCACGCTCGTTCTAGCGAAGGAGAGGCGGCAAAATAAACGAGCAGGCTACCAAGATGACCGACAGAAACGACCCACTAGAATAGAGCGCGTTAATGTTAGCGGGCATGGTTCCATCGTTTACGGGAGGTGATACGGGTCCGGATATTGGGGTTTTCTTGAAAATTTTGGAGCAGGTTGGTCGCTTCGGTGGATGGCGGGATAATGAGCTGGTCTGCATAGCACGATGCAAGATGGTAGGCTCGGCGCGCGATTTTGCGTGGTGGGATGATGGCGTCGCTGCGGCTGCAACTTTATTGAGTTCAAATATTTGGCCCTCAAGAGGTTTGATACGGAGCCACTTATCTTTAAAACGGAAAGGTTTTTAAACGCGAGGCAGAAGGCAGATGAAGAAGTGCGGTCATTTGCGAGTCGCATGCGCATGCTCGTGACCGCCACCCTGGCGAGCTCCGATAGTCAGGATCCGGTGAAAGCTTCACTGCGCCGCGAAATTTTAGCCGAACAACTGCTCTCGCAGTTTTTATTGGGCCTGAGGGATCCGGTCCGCAGATTTGTTCTCTCTCGAGACCCGAAAACGTTTGACGAGGCCATTGCATTGCGGTCAAGGAGGAACAGAATGAGAAAGTGTCGAGGAGCCATTCGTTACCAGTTCGATACGTAGAAGAGGACACGGATGTTCATGAGATTCATAGCCGCCTTGACCGCCTCGAAAAACTTGGGCAGAGCTTGGCAGTACGCAATAAGGCAAAACAATAAAGGTGAAACAGAATTGGCAGGAATTCCCGAAGCAGCTCCCTTATCTCGGCGGGTGCTATAATTATGGCAGGTTTGGTCACTTTTGGCGAGAATGCTATCGGTACCGGCGACGAAAGTGGAATTCGAAGGGTGGCAGCCGCATTCACAAAGACAAGGAGATGGTGACAAAATTCGAATCTGAAAATCTAGAGGCAACTCCTCCTCATGACGGTGATGCGCAGAGGTCAATCGCGACCGTAAATATTCGCAACGAAAGAATCTCCGTAAAAACGAGTCGCGGTTCACCGTGTGTGGATGTGGTTAATGTAATTTCCGTGATCGAGGAGGATGTTCCGCCATTGAGCGAGTGTGTGTTTAGGGGGAACCCTCGCACGCTGGTGCCCCTGGGTGAAACAAAAGCTGTAGAGGTTGCTAAAGCGGATACAGTCAGTTTAGCTGCGGTTTCTACCTCGAAGGTCCCACAAGACGATGGGGCATTACCGATAGGAGTCAGATATGGAGTTATGAGAATGGGTTTTCTGGGGATGAAGTTGTCGGAGTCTTGGTCAACACGGTGGTAGACCCAACGTTACAGAGAGTAGATGAGATTGAGGAATGCCTAGATTGCAACAGGGTGGTTTTTGTGGGACCAAAGGGGAACTGCAGCACACTCGATTACACCGCAGCAAACCCGGGCATGCGCAGTGGTGGCCTTATAAGATAGCTTCGCATACGCCGCACTCCGCGACTGAGTTGAGTAGGTGGAAGTTC